CCTGGACAGAGCTCCTGAGAATGGCATCATATTAAGATCAAGGATGGTCTCATTTGATAGAAGAATACAGAGGGTGGTAAGCAAGTGTTTGGATCACTTAGTGAATTTGTTCAGAGTGAGAGTAATCATTAAATGCATAGCTATTGGTACCAGACGTGATTTCAAAAGGTACTTCAGGAAAAACTATGGAAATAATTGTGTTCCTATTGTGCAAGTTCTCTAAAAGAATTATTTCCCTTATCTGGAACTCACTATTAGCGTCAATGATAATTTCTAATTCAATATGCAAATGTTGTAGTAAAAACATATTAAAAAGCTTTATAAACTAAATAACTCTGGAAAAGAAGGGGCAATAATATCTCTATAAATAGTGACCATTTCATACATTCTAATAAGGAAAAACAAGTCAAGACTCTTAAGCTTGCTCAGAATTTTGATTCAATACTGTCACTTTTGAAGTGAGCACCTATAGGTAATGAAACTTGTGGAGTATTTAAGCACAAATATTCTCACCGTAATGTTGGTTGCAATAATAACTATATGGGAACCATGAGGATCCATCCCTTCCCTATCCTCCTCCCAAAAGGTGATAATTGTTGGGTAAACAAACAACAAATAATTCTTAGCCTAAATCTTATGTCATTATTTAAGTAGTATTTATGCATGTTACCACAGCAGGAGAAAAGTTTTTGTTTTAATCAAAATTGAGCTCCAGTTTTTTGCAGAGGAAACTATTTTACAAGAATCCTCTTTGGGCCTCAGGAATGAATTGAATAGCAATATTAATTTCCCTTTCTTGAGCCAGGAAAACATCTTTATTGTCCCCAGACAACATATGTATTTCTACCTTCATACCTTTTCTCTTGACAGTCCCTTCTTTGAATGTGCATCCCTTAACTGCTGTCTCTTACAGTCTCAGTTGTCCTTCAGATCACATCTCATTCTTCTTTCTTCTACACACTTAGGTGTTTGGAGAACAGAACATTTCTCATCAAGTGCATTTCACTTATACTGCTACAATATTCTACTGCTCTATGTAATATCAAGAATGTTACCAAGTTTAGAAGACTGCAAGTGGATAATTGTTTAAGAAAAGAAATGAGGGGCTGGGGATTTAGCTCAGCGGCAAAGCGCCTGCCTGGCAAGCACAAGGTTGTGAGTTCGGTTCCCGGTACTGGAGGAAAAAAAAAAAAAGAAAAGAAATGAGATGTGAGGCCTAAGTATGTCTCATCTGTAGCTAGATTCTCTTAGCTCCAATCACAGCTTCAGCATTTACACAATGGGTATTGAGAAAGTTCTGCAACCTTTCTAGACCTCAAAGTCCTCATCTGTAAAATGGAAATAACAATACTATCCATGACACTATCCTATGCTGAAAAATAAGCTGAAACCCATTGTTAGGACAGCAGGCTGGAGTTTTGCATTCTATGCTGCAATTTTATCTATCGTTCTGTCTGTCTATCTATCTATCTGTCATTTTCTATCTACAAAGACTCCACAATCAAAACTTATTCTTTCCAATATTAATTGAGATCCCTAATAAGGTAGACGTGATATACCATGCCCAAGATATACCCCAAGTAGAAGTTGTGTTCCAATTATACAACGTTCTAAACACATACACAAAACCGATAATCATCATATATATTTCTGTTAATCCGATGGTGCCGAGTGTAAGCTGAGAATCAAAGTTGGATCTGAAATATAAAAGTTATTCACCCTTATTCGTATGGATAATAACATAAAATGCAAAAGTGAAAATTCCTAACCTGAACACCTTGTGCCCAGTGATAATACTACCCAACGGCATTTTATAAGTGATGAACTTAAGTTGTTACAAATTGGATGGGAGGTGCCCCCTTACTCATGGTCTGCTTCCTAAAGAGGCGGCTTTGAACAATATATGTTTTGAACATTGAACAATATATGTTTTGAAATGCTATATCTTGTGTATTCAAGTTTTTCTTGTGTCGTCAGGTAAGGAGGAAAGGAAACCTAGATGGAATGAAGCTGTCTATATGTTCAACAACAACCCACTGTGTCTGAGGAATCTGGGAATTCCTGACTTGCTATTCCTTAGAAAGTTCATTGTTGTCCTGCACCTGAGCCAAATTCTTCTCATCCATTAAAAACTAGACAGAGAGAAGTCAATCCGAGGTGTATTAAATCAACTCTATCACCCTGCTTTGTAGAAACAACCAATTATAGAAAAAAAGTCCTGAAATTTTAACAGGAAAACATTCTAGAAATGATCATTTTTAATATTTTTTGAGACAAGTTGTTGCTATATAGTTCAGGCTGGCCTCAAACTCACTGTTGTCCTCCTGCCTCAGCTTCCCAAGTGCTGAAATTATAGGTGTGTGTCACCTCACTCGCTATCATTTTTAATATTATTATAAATACTTCATTATCCAAAGGGCGGCCTGTGAATGGCTGCTTTGATAAATCATGGCTCCAAATGTCAAGAGTTTTGCCATGCCACAACAGTAAGATCACAAGGTCTTTTGTTTTTCATTTTACCTGATGATCCTAGGTGCCACCCTCTCTGACCAGTTCCCACCTCTGATGGCTCATGTGTGTGGGGCATGTGCTTTAGAAAGCATGAAAACATCTACTGATTCACTAAGTTTACAAAGTGACTCAAAGCAATAGTCCTCATTCAAATAGCAGAGAGAGATTAGTAAAAGGAAGACAAATTCTTGAATTGCACAAACGCCTAAGGTATGCTTGCGAAACACCACTGAAACTCAAGCACATCCTATTTGTCCTGGCCTGGTGCCCAGAATGGAAGATGAGCTTTCACAGACTTTTAACTACAGTGAAAGAACTGAGCAATTTCACACAAAAGGGAATGAAAAGGCGTTAAATAAAAGAATGGCATTTTAAAGCTTTATATGTTGTCTCCTGTCCACCAACCTTGACAATGTTCCTTTAAAAATCAGCACCTCACTTCTATTGATTTTCAAAATCACACTTCTTTTAACAGAAATCTTCTATTTTTAGCCTGATGGATGGAGTAAATTAAGAAGTACAGCATCTGTGACAATGGAATGCTCAAAAAAAAAAAAATCGCTAACTTACTTTTGGAGAAAGTGAGCAGAAAAAGCCTTCTATGTCACAGGAAAATTGTAATATGATTGGGTTGAAATTTAGGTTGCTTTCCCTTAAATCTTCATCACGGCCTTTTTGTCTCACTACTAGCAGGATGATCCTTTCAGTGCTTCTGGGCTTCTCACTAGAGCACTGACAGACTCTAAACCGTCCTTTGTATATACTACAATATCTCTGTACAAATATGTTATTCTTGGCTATTTGGAGATAATAGTTCTGGAAACATTTAAAATATATAGACTGGCATTTGCTGGGAATTTTAGATGTAATGTTACCTTTAGATCAGCTCATGAGAATTCATGAGTGTTCCTCATATGATCTTTGAGGAAAAAGATAAATCATATCTAAAGAGAAAAAATATGTATCTATTCAAGCATAATAAATAAGATGTAAATCCCATCTCTCTCATTCTAGTTTTCTCTTAATTATTCAAAATTTTTAATTGGAATATTTTAAATAAAATAGTTTATTATACAGCCAGACAATGTTTTTTGATTCCCCAGGCAACTAACATAACAACATACTCATCCTATGGAATGCCTTCTCTGATTTGATGAAAACTATATGAGCGTTGTTGGTAAATGCTACATTTCATGGCATAGCAGAGGCCATAAATGGCCAAGAGGTCTCTACAGAAAGAACATCAGCTTTTTTCATTCTTGGACAGAGTTTGATTCTCACTCAACCAGCCTCGTCAGTTCCCTGTCTGCATTCCTGAGTGCAGCCAGCACAGGAGAACTGAGAATAACTTGTCAGATCAGCCAGTCAGAGCTCATCTTACTGTGGCCTTCAGATTTGCTTTGGGCCTTGGCTTGGCTTTGACAACTTTCTGGAAAATCTTTGTATATTTATAGTGTTCCAATGAGTCTGGCACATACTGTCTAAGTAGCAGCCTCCCTGTCCTTTATCATGTGCTTTTCTTCAGGGGACTCAATGTGGTTACTGAACCATGGGTATCGGGGCTAGAGTTCTGCAGGCATTCTTTGCTCCCTATTTTTGGATATACAAGCCAGCCTCTCTCTCCTGTCTCACGACTCTCTTCAGATCAGTCCCTGCCCTGTGGACTGAGACGTTCTACAGCAGACCTTTGTCTTTCACTCCTCCACTCACTCCTTTGCCCTTAGTATCCTTCGTCTTGTTTCCTGCCACATCCCTGCTGCATGATCGGCCCAAGGCTTGTGTCTAAACAGATAGCCATGAGAATTTGCCACCATTCTCTCTCCATCCATGGAAAGATTGGGTCTTTCCATGGGTCTGCTCTCTCCATCCATGGAAAGATTGTATAGGGTGCCTGATGGGTGGACCCTTATGACTTCATCTGGGCCCTGGGATACAGGCAGAAGTAATGTTTGCCATTGTTAGGTAGAAGGTCTTAGACATCAGCACGCACTTCCCTGAGTTATCTTCTCCCTGACATGGCAAGAGTACAAAGGATGGAACCTCTGTCATCAAGAGGACAGTGTGGACCTCCCACCACTGTGTGATGGGTGTGTGACATATTTGTGTCAGAGCTACCTGTCACTTAGACCACAGAGACCCTATTTATTATAGAATCATAACTTAACCCAGAAAGACAATGCAATTGACTTTACAGCTCTCCACTATGTACTTGTAATGTTATTTTACTTCCGACTCAACATGCATCCAAACACACTGACATTCTCTCATCTCCTGTCTGTCTTCCAGCTGTGCCTAAGCTCCAAAAGAATGTCTCTTGTCCATGTGTCCCCTCTGCTTACCACAGTACCTGGCATATCATAGCCCCTCAAAAATTACACACTGAAAGAATGAATAAGAGGTGCCCATCCTATGGAGAATGCACCTTTGTATTAGCACTGCCATTCTTGGAGTTCTGCCCAACCCAGTGTGGTAACTACGAGTCCACTCACAGTTATGACATGTGGCACCGGTGTAACCTGTGTCACTGCAGTTGCAATAGAAGGTTGTCCAGGACTGGGAGCAGCTTCCTCCATGTTCACAATAGTTTGGCAAACACCTAATCAGAGATAAGGCAAAGCAAAATAAATCAAATCAGTTGAAATATACAGAAAAGCAACTGTATGAACTAATAGTAGAAATTCATTTGCTATATTTATATGCCTAAGTGAGACTTATACAAAATGAAAATGATACTGTAGTTCAACCACAAGATCTGGGTCATCCTGGCACCACCAAGTAATGGAAATCTCAAAACCTTAACTAGGCACCTGAGTTAAGGATTGAAACACTGTGGCAAATGCATGTTGAAAATAAAGTTAGAAGCAAGTGGTCAGAAAGCATTGGTCATAGAAATATAAAAAGATCATAATTTTATATTTTCAATAATTGTTGAATATTTAAAGGAAAGAGGGTAAAGTTAGATAATGAAGTTATTTTCTACATGCTTCTATCTGGGAAATGAGAAGGAAACTAACTAACTATACAACCTGAACTACGCAAAGATGATGGTGGCCCTCTACGTGGAAGAGTTCTTCCATTTGTTTAAAGTGCTGCTGGAGTGGGTGGTGCAAGCCTGTAATCCCAGCTACAGGAAAGGCTAAGGAAGACCCCAATTTCCTGGCTAACTGGGACAATTTAAGGGGACAAAATCAAAGGATAAGATATGATAGAGGCTGGCAATGTGGTGGAAATCTTGCTTTACATGCACAAGACCCAGGCTTCAGTACAAAACAAAACAAAACACAGCACCAATGCCATCCTTAAAAGATGGCCTTTATAATATGGCTATTCCAGAAAATATTTTCACTACATATATTACAAATTCTTTAAACACTTGAGCTAGCAATCATTCTTAGCTGGTGCTATCTTAAGGATATTTTTCCAAATATGAAATCTTTATGTCCTAATCACTGAGAAGTGCCCAACAAGAGAATATTACATAGGAAATATTATTAAAAAATTAATGAACTATTATAAAACTGGTACATATAATGTGCATAAACATCATGATGAAAGATTGAGACAAGATTAAGTGAAAAATCAAGATATAAGCATTGCCAAAAAGTGGAAAACAAGAACTGAATAAATTTCAAAATGGTAAGATAGAAATATATTAGAAGTTACTTGGGTTACTGCTAATGCAGGAGAAGTTCATCCCTTCTATAGAGATCATGGACTTTACAGACCTGCATCTCAGCTCAAACCCCAGCTCAGCATCTCACTTTATGGTAATTTTCACCTTGCCACACCTAAACTAACATCACTACAGTATTTCCACTAACAGGCAAACTGGCAAGTGCTCCACAACTATAATAAATAAAATTAAGCTAAAAGCCATGATAAACCTGAAAGTTTTGAAAGCAATCTTTAAATTGAGACTGAGAGTGCAAAGGAAAACTATTCACAAATTTAAATAGGTAGAGAGTGCAAATAATGAAGTTACAAAAGTGGTGAAACACAACAAATAGGTTCATTGTGGAACCACTGAGAATCTGAGGCAAGCAAAACTAACATGATTTACTCTAAATGTCCTCTGTGGGTAGAAAACCCTCTAGCAATCATTGCTTCAAATCCCAGACAGTAATATTTCTGCAAATGTTCAGACTTATTATCAGAAATTTTCTGCTCAGCACAGCAAACATGCAGTTGTGCTGAGAGGGCTTGTATTTGGAGAAAGCGTGTTGACACCTTCATGGTGCCTAACTGTGACTTAAATAACAGGGGAATAATAAGAGAACCTAAGAACTTTGCTATATGATGTCCTCACTAAAATGAACCAAACAAGTAAGAGAAAAAAAAGTCATATTCTCTTTTCTCCAAATCCCACAGCTGTTTTTTTACTTTTTTCTTTCTTTCTTTCTTTTTTTGATACTAGGAAATGAACTGAGGACCCTGTGCTTGCTAGGCAGGTGCTTATGCCATTGAGCTATATCCCCAGCCCACAGCTCTGGATTGCCATCAACTCTCCTCAATGTCTCAATGGAAAGAAAGAGAAGTAGGCTTGTTACTAGCAAGCTCTGCAGTCCTTGACCCCGCCAACTCTGTGCTGTGGGGGACACTACAACAACTTGGATCATCAATGTGCTCATCGATGAAATTCAGCTACAGTGCTCTCCTCTGGGCCTGTCCTGCAGGAATCTTACGAAGCTAGCACAGTTCTGAATGTCCATGTGCACCCACTTCATTAGAATCCCAGCAGCGCCTTGATTCTGAATACTACTTACTCAGCACTTTACCTTTTCACCTTATTTCTTTTCCTCTGAGGCTGCCAAATTCTTCAGCGACCTTTCTACACTACCTTTCATCTTGTCCTATCTCTCCAAACACACACAAGGATTCCATAATTAGAAAATAATGACCATTGTCTTCTCTGGCTACAAAAAGTTTACTGTGTTATGAATAGAAAGCTAAACAAAAGAAAAAAGATATTATCCTGTAGTTCCTCGAATTTTGGCTCCAGGAAAATTCAGGTTAGTGTCTCTTTGTTGGTTGATATTAGAAAAAAAAAAAATCAGAAGTTTTCAATGGCTGTGTTTTCAGCTAGGAGAAGACCATTTGTTTTCAAAGAGACCAGAAGAAAATTGCTAAATTGCAGCTCACGGGGGAAAAAAGGTGAAATGGAGAGAATCCTGGCAATGTTTGCATGTTTGGTCTCTGTTTCATCTGAGATCTGACTGCAGCCCTACAGCTCCTGAAGGCTGGCTGTTTTCACCTTTAATGGAGTCCATGAAATAAACCAAGATTTTGCCAGAAAAGTCCTTATTTCACTCAGCCAAGCTAAAGTTATGATTTTGCTACATTCAACTAATAGGACCTTAACTTTTTGTGAGACAGCATCTTATCATCACAAAGGAAAGGAAAGCATACTTTTTCCATATAGTATATGCAGTAAAATACCTTACAACTCAAGACTGCCAAGTCTATGTGTGTGGGCAGGGGCAAGGGCCTAGGAGGAAGCCCTCAGAAGCTCCAGGCACTTTGATCTTGTCTTTAATAAGCCTCAGGCAGACCTGACACCACAGAGTCAATAAACTCAAGTCACCCCTGAAAGTCCAGGCTAGAATTTCATTTGTTTATGATCACTGAAAGAACCAATGGTATATTTCTGGAAGGGAAAAGGAGTAGGTGGGTGAGGGGAAATCTAGTATTCCTAGAATGGAAAAGAAATACATGGTGCAGGTAGGACTGCTTGGAGCTTGGTTCATATCTGTTGAAAGCACACCATAATTAGCAAAACTCATCTGCCCAGTAGACATTCAAAATGAAAGGTGCACAAGCCCAATTTGCTCACTTAAACAGGGCAGTTTTATAAGTCTAATTCCCAGATATTTTCATCAGTTCATTTTAACTATTTTTTTTTTTGTTTCTGTTTCTGTCTATGTGACACAAACTGTGCACTGAAACCTGAGGCCACAGAGGCAAATGCATAAAGCTCCTAAAGAGAAAGAGCACTACATAGGAGGACAGTGGTCATCAATGAGTAAGGCCTTTAATTCCAGTTGCCAGGTAGTTACCACTCTGAGCACCTATCCTCTGCAATCCTAATGATGTCTCAGATGCAGCTGGCTCTGGATAGATGTGGCTTCCTTTGGTGCACAGTGTTGTCCATGAACACAATAGGTTTCTTCATGCACCCCAAGAGCCCAGAGAAGCTGACACAGTGATCAGGAAAGACTTGGGGAACATGGCAGATGCATTGCCAGCTGTTTTGCCACTGTGTAAAAGCAATGTGCATGGTCATAAGGGAGCTGACAAAAATGTTGTCTTGGTTACTTTTCTCTCGTTGCTGGGACAAAATACCTGACACCCAAAATTAAGGAAGGAAAGGTTTATTTCGCTTACAGTTTGGGGAGTTTTCAGTCCATACTTGGCAGGTTACAAGGCAGAGTGGCACATGGCAGAGGGCTACAGCTCATGGTGGCAGAACACAGCAAAAGTAACAAACACAAAAGGGAGGAATGGCGGCAAGCAGCCTCTTCCTCTCCCTTACATATGCAAACTATCCACCCCAGGGTGGGTGTAGCTCTCACACCCATAATCAATCAAACTTTAAAAGCCCGCCCCATGACCGCATGACACACAGACACAAACTATAACAAAGGTTGAAAGAAAAGGCAGAGAAAAAGTGGAAAAGGTAGAAATGGAAGGAGAAAAAAAATAATGACATCACAAGGACAGAAGTTACTATCATATTTACAATTTTCCTTCAAATTCAAACTTCTTCCAAAGGAAAAGGATCGTTATTGTGTGGCATGGTGGGCCATCCAGGTAATAGAAGAAGTGGGAAGATTTATGCAGATACAGAAGAGACAGACAAAACGCTGCTGCTTCAAAGACAGCAAGAGATTATTATAGATTGATCCACTTGGAAAACCATGAGTAGGAATTTCTGAGAACTGAAACCAAAGCCTAGCTTCGAGCATACTCCAAAGCCACTTGACACAGAGCATATTGCTTTTCCATTGGCATTAAGAAGAACCAAGGGACACCACATCTTCCCAGAGAAGGGTCAGGGTACTTACTTTTCTGTAACTTGGCCTTAACTGGCACTGAACAGAAACTCCAGCTGGTGTGGGTGAGGCTTGGGGAAAGTGTTATGAAAGCAGTAGGATTCAAGTTAGTTCACAGAAATGCATTCTGCTCGCTTTTAATTTGGAAAGTTTCACAGGCAGAAATATATTCTCTTAAATAAAAACTAGACTACTAAAAGCAATACAGCAAATTTCATAACTATACATGTGCAACTTCCAAGTGTACATTTTGAGTTTAGTTTTTTCTGCTAAATTCCAGACTCATATTTCAGCTGCCTGATGCACAGGTCCACTTGTGTGTCCTACATCTATGCAGCCAAAATTGACTTTTCCCTTTCTTGGTTGGCTGTGGCTGTAACCAGCTCCACTTTTAAAGCTGATAGCAACACCATCCTTGCCAAAGTCCACACCCCAACCTCGAAGGTCTTCTTCTCATCTCCCAGCGACATAAGAGGGATGAGTGAATACTGTGGGGAGCGCCTTCAGAACCTGTTCTCAATCTGACAGTCTCTCACTACCTCTCCTG